GACTCCGAAATTTCCTAGAGATATTCTATTTTAGCCCAAATCTGTGGGACTTATCTGCATATATTGCCATTGTCAAGCAGCAATAAGTAGGGCAGGGAGTGTCACGTACAGCGGCAAGTCTCATCACATGCAACAGAGACATAACACTATAAGACAACTTCTCTCTAGTGGAAATATCACAATTGACTATGTGAAGTCAAGCGATAATGTGTCAAATCCACTAACGAAAGACCAAGTGAGAGAGGAAGTTGAAAGATCATCTAAGGGAATGGATTTACGGCTTATGACAAGTTAGTATGGTGGTAACTCTATCTATCAGACTGGAGATCCCAAGAGCTAGATTCAAGGAGAAAAGCAAAGTTGTGACTGACGGTTCGACATTGTCAATCAACTCAATCCATTCTCATGAATGATGAAGACAATGTTCAGTAACAAGATTAAGACTTTAAGGTTTGTTAATGAATTAATAAAGTTTAAGATTTTTAATGATTTGCTAAATTGGAAGATTTGACCAAATAGTGTATCTACGAGATGACAAGGTTAGAATTCACCTATGTGAGTGTGAAGTGTAAGCCTTTTCAAAGAGAATTTTATGTCAAAAGTGTATTCTTCATGAAACCAGGAGGTGTTCATGGCTGAAACGAACACAACTGTAACAGTAAAGGGTTAATTGTGTGACATATGGCTGTCTAGGTATACACTAAAGCTCAACGGTTCAAAGATATTGCATCTACCGATTAACCGAGTATATCTGACATATGTTCACTATGGAAAGTCCAAAAGAAAACCTGCTTATCCAGATGCAATTGATCCTTGCTTGTAAAGTACACACTTGTTCGTGCATTCCTATTTTATAATCATTCCTCATTCATGTGGGGGATTGTTGGATATGTAGCAAGAGTTAATGGAAAATGGAGGGAATATGAAAAGAGAGGAACTTGAAGAGTTGGGAATTTGAAAAGTCATCTTATGCTTTAGTGAAGGTATTTGTCTCTCATCAGTGGTGGAAAGAAAAATTAGAGAGTTTAAATATAGAAACACTCCTATTAATTATTAAAGGGGTTGGAAAGAAGGACCCCCTTCGCGCCTTCGTCGTCGCTCGCTTGGCTACGTCTACGACTTCGGCTTTGTCACAAAGTTTGTTTTAATTATTTATTTAACTAAATTAAATTAAATGACCAAAATGTTTCAATTAATTAGTTAATCAACCAAACATTTCAATTAATTAGTTAATTGACCGATCCGACTAGGATCCGCGCGAGACCCATTTTATTTTAATTCTTTCCCATTTTATTTGAATTTTCCAACATTGGAAGTGACTGTTCTGAAAGGTTGCAACTTTCAGAAACAACCATGACCGTTTGAAAGATTGCAACTTTCATGAATGGTCGTGTGGATTCTGAAAGGGTTGCAACCTTTCAGAACCATTTCCTCTTGCCTATAAATACCATTCATTCTTCACAATTTTTCCTTACGAATTTTTCTAATTTCTTCTTCTTCTTCTACACAAAGTTTCTTTGTGTACTTTACTGTTGTTGAGTGGTTCGCTGAAATAGAGCTTTGGGTATCAATACGATTGAGATCATTCTATCCTGGGAGGACAAATTCCAAATTAAACCTCAGATGCTAGAAGGGAATAATTTCTTAAGGGGACACTGTGCATTTAGTGGGCTTGATCTTTTTCTATTCTGATTTTCCAAATTCTGGTACGTTTAAAGATTTGTGTTATTTTTTGAATTAATTTATTTTCATCTTTCTTACCGATTTATTAAAATTTGGTAACTTCGTTTTTTAGCAAATTTTTGTTGAAATCAGTAATTCTATTTTCAAATACAGATTGACAAATAACAATAGGTAACTACTAAATTTTACAGATGAGAAGCCAAATACTTAGAAAGGGGACGAGGGCATATAGTCTCTTCATAACAATTTTTCTTAAACGTTCTCTCTCATTTGTCGTTCTTTTAACTAGTTGTTAAGAGACAGGAGTCCCAAATCAACCTTTGTGAAAGCCTTTTAGTTTTGTTGTTTCTCCTTGACCCAATAATTAGTTGTATGACATATATATGTGTAGGTATAAACATTGGGTAGAGGCTGGTTCATAACAATACTCATATCCTTAATAAGAACTTTAATTTTTCCTCAAGGTTCGAGTTAAGAACAATGTTAGAAGCACACTCCACACCTATTGTTGCCAAAAAATTAGTAGGTGCCCTTGTATAGAGTAAGGTTGAAGATTTATACTCCAATCATAATCACTGTTTGGCAAAAGTTTGTATAGAGCCTTCATGACTATACTGCACACAAAATAAGTTGGAGAAATCAACGCCACCATCCTTTGTGAAGCCTTTAAATTATTCCCCACTAACCGCTTCAAAATCTTGTACCAAAACTTTGTTGACACATTAAAATTGGATATTTCCACCTTATAGGTAGAACCCATTACAGTCATGAACTCGGAACTAATTCTAGGATCCTATATAGAAATAGTTTATTCATTTTTAATTATACATTTAGCAGATTCGATAGTGAAACGAGAGTAGGAAACTGACCCAACAGGCTTAATTAATTGTGTCCATTACTAGTAAGAGAGTGAATACAAACGTCACATGGAGGCATCCACCAGAAGTTACAATGAACAAATTTGCACCAGGATCATAAGGGAATTGATTTGAAGTACATCGATCACTTGTTGGAGAATCAAAATGGCAGACAATTATTATGATGATCTCCTTGAAAAAATCAATAATCATTAAAGAATAACATGTTGCAAAGCAAATAAATATGGTAAGCATACTAGAACCAGAATCAAATGGAAATTCTAATTTGAATCGAGCGTGTGGAAATTGATACAAGGATGATGAAAGTTTAGTAGGATCGATTTCACTTAAATCAGAAAATATACCATTGATGGAAATACAAGTTGAGAGCATACAAGGGACTGCGCAAACAACATTTCATCAAACTTGAAAAGGTTATTGGAATGACAACTAAATTTGGATACCAAAAGTGAAGTTAGGATCCCCTTATCATCGTAAGATGAGTCCACATCTTAAGGCACCGGACATGGTAGATTTTGCAGAGTATATAAGAGAAGTTCTCGTCCAACTTCCACATCATATCAAGGTGTTGTCATTATCATTACAAAAATGCAGAGCTAATGTCTTAGTGAAGTGTTTCCGGTCAAAAATTTGATTGTTGCGATACAACCATTGGAACCAATCATAAGCAGCACGATCGAGATAAAGGGGAGGAAGAGGTAGCCATTACTTTCCCGAGAAACCAAGAAATATGAAATATTGCTCCACCCTAAAAATTCACCTAGTTGGATTGTTGCTGCTAAATCTATCGAATACCATCAATGCCATCGGAATATGAGAAGAAAGAACCAATGTAATGAACCCAATTCTCAACAAAAACTCATAAATGTATTGCAATTACACAATATGATTACAATAGAAATTCTGAAAAATAAGAAAAGGTAACAATTAAATTAACGGATAGTAAGAACTAGAAGAGATGAGAAACTATATACTCCTGTTTGGATTAGCTTTTGACTTATGACTTATAAGTCAAAAGTCATAAGTTAGAATTTATAATTAACTTTTTTCTTCTTTTTTTTTTAAAGAAAATGCATAAGTACCCCCAACCTATGTCTGAAATTTCAGAAACACATATACTATACTAATGTTCTATTACCCCTGAACTTATTTTATAAATAATTTTCTATCTATTTTCGGATCGGGTTTTGAAAACCCGGATGATGCCATAAAAAAGAAAAAAATAGAATATACAAATACGTCGTACTTAAATAAGTATAATCAACACGCAGTAGCCGGGAGAAAGAGTTTTTTTTATAGATGTTGAGGTGAGTAAGGGGGGGTTTGCTGGCTTGCTAGCTATGTGACACTAGCTTGAAAAAAAAGGTCAACATGCGCTGGGCCCACAAGATAGTGTCACGTAGGCCAAAAAGGGGTAGAAAATTATTTATAAAATAAGTTCAGGGGTTGATAGAACCTTAGTATAGTATAATTCTGTCTTTGAGATTTCGGGCATAGGTTGGGGATACTTGTGAATTTCCCTTTTTGTTATCTTGGCTTAAAAATAAGCGCTAATAAGCACTTTTTAACTTTACTCAAACACTTCAAAAATGTTTAAAAGTTATTTTGGGTTAAAAGCACCTAAAAAACAGTTAATCCAAATGGACAATTAGAAAGAAGACAAGGGCGTATAGACTTTTCATAACAAGTAAGGGGAAAAAAGAAGGAGATTACAATGTAGACGATCATACCTTAACCAATAATGTGAAAAGTTCAGGTAGCCAATAAAATAATCTACTAAAATTCCTCTCTTTCTTTTTATGAAGGGTGACAAATTGAAGTAGCTCTTTCTTTGTGATACAACTATCCATTGCAGAATTGAGTTGAGCAAATTGTTATTATCACATCAAATTGAGCAACAACCATACTAAACTATCTAATAAATAGAGCGGCTTACCTTCAAGTTTTGCTTCAAATTTCTAAGATTCATCTACATAATTTCTAACAAACAAATATCGAGTACTTGTGTGCTTAAATTGTTGATGAGTTTAAATTCAACAAGTTATTGGTGTTTGAGGTACAACTACATCAGTAACGCAAATAAACTTGTTTCATCCTATGACGAAGTAATCAAAACCTAGGAAATTAAATTTCTTAAGAACACACAACGAATTCAGTGTTATCAAATATTTATATAAAGTTTCTTCTTTTTGTTTTCAGTTTGTTCTGAAATCTGGTTTTCCTGTTTTGAATACAGAGTAACAACAAAGTTTTTCATATGAAAATATTTGTGTTAGATTTAATTACTTATCCTCACTTTATCTTTTCCCATAATTATGATAATGATGTTGATCAGTACTAATAATTTTTCTAGGAAAAACTCAAATGTTAGTAAATATGATTAACATGTAGCCAAAGTCAATAAATTCTTGATGAATTCCAACAGGGAATTAACAAACATTACTTTATTTCTTTATTATACACATCCACATTATTGGAAAGTCAACAGGTCACAATCAAAGAACACATAATGAACAATCAAACAAACAAGTAAACTTCAATAATGCAAAACCACAACATGGTATTCAAGTATTGCATTTTGTGTGGTGTTATCAATTTGGTAGGTTTTCGCTGTGGCGATGCCCTTTGCTAGCCTGAAAACACCGGAACCACCATTAATTGGCATCTCTCGATACTCCTGAAATATCTGATTGTGCCCAAGGATACTAAGTGTGCTACCATTGTACTTACCATTTGTGAACACAAGGTTGAGTGTCATAAGAAGGCCTAAATCTTCGAACAATGTTGAGCCATAAATTCCTTGGGCTCGGCCTATTATTTTGGAGTTGGGCTCGGGATTAACCGTCAACGGATTGTCCATCATCCTTACCAAGCCAAAAAATGTTGGTGATTGAAATGTATTATTGGCTTGTGCTATTTGGATTGCTGATGGATTCTCTGCAGTCACAATATCATGAAAGTAAAAGTGAAGTTTGGTCATTTTTGCTTTTGAATGGGGAAGCTTCTTGAACCATGTGTCCACTCCTTTAGGACTTTGATCAAGCCCATGACTTGAAGGCAATATTATTGTTATTGCCAAAAAAAAGAAAGCCATCAACAAAAATTTCTCCATTTTTCTTGTTACTTATACAATCAAATGCACTATGACTAGCATCAAATATATAGAGACAAAAACGTATATGAGAGAGGGACGAGAAGATTAAAAATAAGGAAATTTTCGCATATAGCCACGATAATAAATTTATTTATGTTTTATGGGTTGTAGTCAGAGGCGGAGCTAGGTGGCGTGTGTCTTAGACATGCTTTTGTAAGTTTATCTATTGAGACAGTCAATTAAGATTGTATTTCAGTATATTTTATGTTGCGTAATTCTTCCGCGCGCTGAGAGTCTAGCCTGGCCAAGGGTTCGCTTGGGGCCAGTAATGGTTCTCGACAGTTAGTCGGGTCCAGGGTGTAGGCTTGGGTGTGCCATATTAGTTCTGTAAGACACACGCCCCCAAGCACCCAATTGTACGCACATAGCACACTCAACACCCAATAAGAGGAAGATTGACTCAAATAACAAGTTATAGTATCATATTTACTATTTGATAATAGTGTGATGGTGATTATAAAAGTTATGTAACATTTCTTTTAAAAATACAAAGCAAAATTTTACTTTTTCTATGAGTTTCCATAATTATGTTTTTAATTATCTCAAACTGTTGATGTATAATTTAGTGTTGTTATATTATTATACTATATTGTAAATTAAAATTTTAAAGATTCACAAAGCTTACACTTCATGTCTTGAGGCTTACATCTCGCGCTATGCTAAGTAAAACGTATCACCTCATGTCACCGCCTTTCAAAACACTGATCTAGAGTATATTATGTAATATAATATATTAATATAGTTTCGATTATTTTTAATCAGTGACTATTATTTTGTGAATTTTACTGTGTGATTATCTAATTGTATAAATTCAGAGTTTGTATAATTCGGTCTCTAATTGATCAAAGTCCTAAAGTAACGGAGAAATGGTTCAACAAGTTTCCCCATGCAAAACTAAAAATGTCCAAACTTCACTTTTACTTTCATGATATTGTAACTGCAAAGAATCCTTCAGCAATCCAAATAGCACAACCCAACACTACTACATTTCATGAATCACCAACATTATTTGGCTTACTGAGGATGATGGACAATTCGTTGACGGTTAAGCCCAATGACTACTCCAAAATAATAGGCCGAGCCCAAGGGATTATGGCTCAACATCGTTCGAAGATATACGCCATCTTATGACTCTCAACCTTGTGTTCGCAAATGTTAAGTACAATGGTACATATCCTTGGGCACAATCAAATATTTCACGAGTATCCAGAATGCCAATTATTGGTAGTTATGGTGTTTTTAGGCTAGCAAAAGGCATCATCACCGTGAAAACCTACCAAGTTTATAGCAACACACAAAATGTAAAAGTTGAACACCATGTTGTGGTTTTGCATTATTGAAGTTTACTCCTCGTTACCCAAAAGTGACAATACCTGCTCAAGTCACCTCACTCTTTTATTTGATATCTCTTTATTTTAAAGCTCAATTAGTCTATATTTATGTTGTGAAGTTCTATTTTTGAGAGTACATAGAAACATCTCATTTCCCTCTTCTCTTTACCCAAAAGTGACAATACACTACCTGCTCAAGTCACCTCACTCTTTTATTTGATATCTCTTTCGGTGTTTGATATTTATTTTAACGTTCATTTAGTCATATTGAGAAGTTATTTTTTGAGAGTACATAAAAGCATCTCATTTCCCTTAGAAGATCCCCTCCAATCCCAATATTTCATTTCACTCTTTTCTCTTACTTAACTTATTGGTCTAACTTTACCCAAAAGTAACAATACACTATCTGCTCAAGTCACCTCACTCTTTTATTTCGTATCTCTATTAGCGTTCAATATTTATTTTAAAACTAGTGAAACTATTCGTGCTTCGCGCGATTATATGAAATATTTATAAGATAATAATATGAAATATATAATATTTAGGTTAGTATTGAATATATAGATAATATTTATATTTCTCCTCGTCTGCCATATTATAGACTTTTTAAAAACATATAAAATATATTTATTTGTTTAGTATATGTATATATTAGAACAAAATATTCACCGTGGTGAAGTAAATGGAATAAGGTATAATATGTTGAAATAACAATATATGTG